TGTGTGACAGGGTTTCTCTGTGTAACCCTGGCTGTCCTCAAACTTGCTCTGTAGACCAGGCTAGCCTCAAAACACCTTTGTCTCCTTATTGCTGGGATTAAAGATGTGTACCACCACTGCCCAGCAGGGTTTGCTTTTCTTTAGAGCTTGTCCTGTCTCCACCTCCAACTCTGGAGGAAGTCATGTCAGACTGGAGCTGTGGGAGAAATGAAACTGACCCAAATTGCCCAATGAGGAAGTTCTAATCTCTTTAGCATCTCTGAGGCTATATCAGGTAGAAGTGCTATCTCTGAGACACGCCCTTGCCTTGGGTAAGCCTGGCAGCTTTCTCTTCTCTGACCCCAGCCAGCTTCGCTCAGGCCTGTTTTCCCTCCTCCCATTCAGATAGAGACCTAAAGGGAAGGACCTGACCCCCCAAAACACATACCCATAGGCCAGGAGTCACCAACACAGAAGAGAAGAGTACTATCTGGAGAAATAGGTCCTGCTTTGTTAAACCTTGAGTGTGGTTGAGAATTGTACTTGGCCCTCTATGGGTGCCAGTTGGTAGAGAGCATTAGGAAGGGGAGGAAAGAAAGGGGACAGTGGGAGAGCTTTAAGCTTGGCACCTCAATTCTGTCTTGACTGGGGGGCCCTTCACCCCATTTTATAGTGAAGACTGTCATATCTCTCCAATGTTGTGAACTTTTGCGTGTGGTGCAGCTGGGATTTGCATACGGATTTTTCTTGTGCTGAGTTCCTCACTTCGGTGAAAACTGGCCTGAATGGTTCCTCTTTGCTAGTCCCAACTAATTCAGTCTCTTCCCAGAAAGCAACAGCTTTGTCTTTCCAAATCCCACAAGCCTGGGTCAATCAACACTGGGTTATTTCACCCTTGGCTTAATGTCCCAGCTTCTGGCTTTTCTTTCCTTTTCTTGTGTGGCCTATGCACATGCGAATGTGTGCACACGTGTGTGGAAGCCATAGGACATCATTCTTGGGTATTGCTTTTTAATTGCAATCCGTTTTTTAAATGTTTTCCTTTGGCTTGAGACTTGCCAATTTGGCTAGGTTGGATTCTGTCTCGACCTCCAAAGCTGGGTGGGATTTCAAGCGTATGCCACTATGTCTGGCTCTTTTCCCTTTTCTTTTATTATTTTATGTGTATGGATGTTTTGTCTGAATGTCTGCGCACCATGTGCATGCCTGGTGCACAGGATCCCAGAAGAGGGCACTGAATACTCTGGGACTGGAGTTACAGGTGGTTGTGAATTACCATATGGGTGCTGGGAATTGAACCCTGGTCCTCTGGAAGAGCAGGCAGTAGTACTCTTATCCACCTAGCCATCTCTCTAGCCCCCTGGCTTTTTAAACTATGGATTCTTGGGGGTGGAATTCAGGTCTTCATGCTTGCAAGGCAACTTTGCCAGCTGAGTTATCCCCAGCATTCATTGCCTGCTCTTTTTTAGCTGTAGCTGGGGCTAGCTTCCAACTTGCTGCAATCTTCCTTGTTTTGTCCTCCTGAGTGCTGAGTGCTAGGATTACAGGCTTTCGTCTCTTGCCTGAAAGACTTGGCAGAATAGAAGAAAAAGACTGACCTAAAGCAACATTGACTACAGGAACCTGGCCAATTATGATGACATTATTAACACCTGGAAACCTGCTCCAGACAGGGGTGAGGCTATCAGATCCCTCAAGCTTAGAAGTGTCCATTTGGTCATCCTGGAACAAATGTTTAGAGCCTAGGCCATCCTGGAATTTTCAATGTAGCCAAGGATGACCTTGAACTCCTGTTCCTCCCAAGTGCTGGAGTCACAGGCCTGCGCTTGTAATAATAATAATTATTATTATTAGTTTTTTCATATGATACATTTCCATCACATATTTCCCTCCTTCCTCAACTCCTCCCAGATCCTCTCCAACTTCCTACCTACCCAGCTTGTTCTGTCTCTATCCCCAAAACAAAAATAAAAACAAACACAAAACCAGTAAGACAAAACAAGCAAACACAACAAACTAAAACAACAGCTCCACAAGCACAGAAAAGGCTTGGGCAAGAGCCTCATGTGCTTCTGGACTGCAGCCAAGTTTGGGAACTCTTATCACAAGAGGCCCTTTGGAGACCCTGCAGAAGTTATCAGGGACTGATTTAGCTGTGATTGAAGACAGGGCTTCTAAACTCTGTGGAATGAGGGAAGCAGCTGCAGGTTTGAAAGTACTCAGCCTGAAGTCTGGGGACTTGGGTAGGAGAGGCTCAGTGACCCGAACATAGATGTTCACTCCACTTTTATGTCCGTTACTCTACGGCTCCCCTTTCTGAGAGCGCTTGTGTTTAGGCTCGTTGGTGATCCAGTGCTGTGTGTAATAGTAAAATCTAGTCGCCCCACCCCAAAAGGGATCTTCCGTGACTCCAGGCATATGTTCCTCTGGAAACTGCATTCATTTCTGGAGGCTGCATCTGTTTTCCACTTCCATGTCCCTTGGCTGCCATTCACCAGTGCAGTGCACCCACCAAGGAACGAATGGGCACCAGTGGCACGTTTCGGAAGCTGTGGTATTAGGATCTGTAACTCAGGCCCATAGAAGCTGTAGAAGTTCTTTCAAAGACACTGGTGATTAGGTCAGGTGGGGCCTTAAGTTACTTCTAGTAAGCAAGCCTGGAAATGTTTACCCACTGCTAGTGGCCACATTGCCATTATCGTTTTTATCTGCTACTGAAAGGTGATTATCATCTCCTGAGCAAAGGGTAACAGGCTCAAATACAGGGAAGTCTTTAACTACATTCTTGGAGTTAAGTAAGAATGAGAACAATTAGCAATTAAAACCTCAAAGATGGGGCTGGGGTTGGCTCAGTTGGTAAAGCACTTAAACATTGCAAGGAGGAGGACCTGAGTTCTACCCCCAAATAATGCATTGTGTCTCACACACAGACACACAGACACACACATACACACTCCTCAGGAAGTTTGAAGATAAGCCAAGAGAGATTGCTGTGGGATTTGCTCTTTTTTTTTTTTTTTTTTTTTTTTTTTGAGAACGGGTTTTTTTTTTTTTTGCTCGAGACAGGGTTTCTCTGGTTGGCTTGGGAGCCTATCCGGGCACTCGCTCTGGAGACCAGGCTGGCCTCGAACTCCCAGAGATCCTCCTGCCTCTGCCTCCCGAGTGCTGGGATTAAAGGCGTGCACCACCAACGCACGGCTGGGATTTGCTCTTTTGTAGACCTAACTTCACACAGAGGAAGCGGTAGGGAGACCCTTCGCAAGGCGGTGCAGGCTCTGCTCTCCCGTGTGGGATTTCATCTACCTCCTTGGCAAATGGTGGAGAGGGAGTGTCTGGGAGCTTTCTGGGTCTCTCTCCTCTGGAAAGAGTAAAGTAGGGACTCTGATTCTGCCACATTTCACATTTGTGACAATGTCCAGAGAAGGACTGACTAACCCGGGAGGGAGGGTTCCTGGGTTATGTGCTCTGATATTGTCTCCTTTCTGGAAAGTTAACTCCTGGGCAGGCCCTCATCACATCACACTAGAGAATTGCTAGTGCTCTTCGAATACAGCCTTCTAGCTGTGGTGTTCAGTAAGTTAGGGTTAAATGCCTGCTGGGTGGGTTTATCAGGATGTAGCTAAATTGGAAGTCCAGGAGCATTATTTCCAAATTATGGGTTAGGTATGGGCCAAGAAAAACCTCAAGTCTTTGGAATAACTGGAGCCTGAGTGTCCAGTGCAGGTTCCGGAGATGTCTGCAGGACCGGCAGGAGATGATGGGATGCACGTGTAGTTTCAGGGTGCCCAATGCAACGGAGGACAGCTTGGACCACTCCACACATAGAATGTGTATGAAGAGCTGAGATGCGTCCTGTGACTAGGAAGTGGGCAGAGGCTAGCTTATAGGGAGCTTAGGATGTTTGATGGCTGTCTTAGTCACGATTCGAGACATGACCAAGGAAACTCTTACAAAAGGAAGCATTTAACTAGGGGCTGGTTTTAATGTACAGTTTCAGAGATTTAGTCCCTTATCATTATGGTGGGGATCCGACATGGTGCTGGAGCCGTAGCTGAAAGCTACATCCTAATGAGAGGCGTAAGGGAAGAGGGGAGAGAGACTGGGCCTGGTGGGAACTTCAGCTCACCCTCCCCCTGCCCAGTGACAGACTTCCTCTAACATGACCGTGCCTACTCCAACAATGCTATACTTCATAATCCTTCTGATCCTTTGAAAGAGTTCCACTCCCTGGTGACTAAGTATTCCAATATATGACCCTATGGGGGCCATTCTTATCTTAAACTACCACAGTGGGAAAACCCTAACATATTAAACACAAGAACAGAACAGTCTAGGTGGGGGGTTGGAAACTGGCAGGAGAGTTAAAAATAGAACTGGGGATTGTGTAAAAACTAGGGAGGAGGTGATGGCTGTAGCCCTAGGGTGAGGGATGATTGGATTGACGGGACTGGCCATTCGGGGTGAGGCCAGTTTGGCCAGCAAGAAAAGGAGGCCATGAGCCTCCATTACAGGATGCTATTGTTTTAATTTGATTTACTTGAAAATAACTCTTTTCCCAGTTGTCTTCCTCTAGCTCTCTATTCTCTTAAATTAACTTAAGCTGTTTTATTTCATCTTATTTTTTGGTTTGTTTTTATGAGTCTAAGTTGGCCTTGTGTGTCAGAAGGATGACTTTGAACTGATCCTACTACCTCTGCCTCCAAAGTGTTAGAATTTGGGAATGCTCCAGGCCTGGTAGGTTTTGTTGGGGTGCCTTACTTATTCAGTATTGGGATTCAGCTAGAATCTTGTACCCGCTATGAAGTACTCCACCACAGATCTTTATAGCTGGAGTTCAACTACCAGCTCATGAAAAAAAGATAGGTCACTGTGCTGCTCAGACTGCCTTGGAATTGCAACCCTCCTAAATGTTCCTGAATGCCTGAGTTACAAGTCTGACTTTTGAAAGGCTGTAATATTTCATGACATGCGTCTATGCGATAGTTCATTTAACCCATTTGTATCTGTTGTCTCCCCTTCAGGTTGACCAATATCTGTACCACATGCGTCTCTCAGATGAGACTCTTCTGGAGATTTCTAGGCGGTTCCGGAAGGAAATGGAGAAAGGGCTAGGAGCCACCACACACCCTACTGCAGCTGTGAAAATGCTGCCCACCTTTGTGAGATCAACTCCGGATGGGACAGGTAGTGTGTGTGTGTGTGTGTGTGTGTGTGTGTGTGTGTGTGTGTGTGTGGGTTTGTTTGTGTGTGTGTTTGTGTGTGTGTGTGTGTGTGTGATTGCTCCACGGATGAGAGACCACTTTGTTGGCTTTGTTCAATGACACAGAACTAGTCTCAGTCACGGTTGTTTTTGTTTTTTGTTTTTGTTTTTCTTCTGTATACTGTGTTCTGCCTGCATGTATCCCTGCAGGCCAGGACAGATGAGGGAGCCAGATCTTATTACAGATGGTTGTGAGCCATCAACAGGGTGCTGGGGTGCTGGGACTTGAACTCAGGATCTTTTAAAGAGCAGCCAGTGCTCTTAACTGCTGAGCCATCTCTACTACCCCAGTCAAGGGCTCTTGGGTTCACCCTTAGAAGTCAACGTAGGTTGATGCAAACACTGGGAGGTGTGTAGAAGGCTGTGGGATGGAGTGGCCATCTGACGGCTTGGACAGCCAGGTTCAGAACTCTTCTTTGTCAACTCTTCCAGTGTACTGCTGACGGCCATTTTCTTTATGCTCATGTGCTGAGCTTAGTCTTCTTGACTCAGTTTGGGTTTCCCAGTCTCATATAAATAGCACACAGTGGCCATGATGACCATGGTTGGGCACTCTCCGGTCAACCTATATCCAGTGTCATTTAGTGTTTTATGAGCTCCAGAAAAAAGTCCTATAAATTCAAGTAAACTGGAAAAACTGTGAAGAAGGAAAAACTCTATCTATCTATCTATCTATCTATCTATCTATCTATCTCCCGGTATTAGTTCTTAAAAATATTTGTTTTACTTTGATGTGTATGAGTGTTTTGCCTGCATGTGTATCTGCACACCACATGTGTCTCTGCCCACCTTGGCCAGAAGAGGGCATCAGATCTCCTGGAACTGGGTTTATAGATAGCCTTGCTAAGTTTAGTTAACTTCCTGAGCCTTCTGTATCCACCAGCTTCCTGGGCCTTCCCAACCTCCCTCCAGGAGGGAACCTTCCAGTGAAAGGAAATAGCCACACAACAGAAGGGTGGGGGCTAGTTCCCAGAAGGCCTTGCACGTGGGCCTGAAAATGTAGTTTTCTTCTGTTGACTTGGTGGAGATGATGGACATTTCTGAGGGGTGTGAACAGAATCTTTGTACTCATGTTAGTTTATTAGCACAGGCAGGGGTGTCTGGGAGATACAGTTGTGGCCTTGGGGGTGGGTTGTGGAGGGTTGTAGTGGACAGGGGAGAGAAGATTCAAAGCGAATGCTAGGAGCTTGAATCTGCACAGTGACTTTGGTGGCAGCAACCCTGGAGGTAGAGGCAGAACCCAGCATTGGCAGAGCTTGTTCCTTTGTCACAGGAACCATTCTAGACTGGCACTTTGAAGTACATAAAAGGTGGGGGTGCTAGTGTGAGCTCTTTATCTTGGGACTGGGGAGAGAGCCCAAGCCTTTGGAAGAATTAAGAAGTGGACTCCGAGGGTCGGAGGGAGGAGACAATTCTAAGAAGCCAGCCAGTGGCCAGTACTCATTGATTTCCACAGATATGCAGGATTCAGGCTGTGGAATGTTGTTGGTCTGTGTTGGTACCTGACCTTGGATCACCATGTGTCCTTGAGGAACACTGAGAGTCTCTGAGATCTGGTTTAACAAGACTTTGTACAATTCCTAAAATAAGTATATTTGATGAAGCCTTGTGACCCAATCTGGTCCCAGCACTGAGCATGTGTTCTTGTTTGGGGTCATTGTCTGAATGTGTGTGTTTTCCAGGCCTTTAAAAAGCCCCTAGAAGTCGGTAGTGGGGGTGGAACCTTGAAAGGTCTGCTGTGTCCTCTAGATTGGTATGTTTACCATTCCTGTCTCATTCTGACCGGAAACCATACTTATATCTGTTTCAATTTGACATTCTGATAAATGTATTGACTTCTGAAGGATAGCCTGTATTTTGCTAAGAAAGCACCTAAAATGTTGCAGTATGAGCTAGGGACTAAACCTGAGCATCTACATGTGTTAATTTTTTAGGGATTTATTTGTTTTTGTATGTGTGAGTGTTTTGCTTGCATGCCTATATGCCATATGCATGTTAGGTCCTCTGGGAGGTCAAAAGAGGGCATTGGGTCCACTGGAACTGGAATTACAGGCTGTGAGCCACCATGTGGGCACTGAGATTTGAACCTGGGTTCTCTATAAGAGCGGTAAGTGCTTGTAATTGGTGAGCCACCTCTCCACCTCCAAATCATTTACATAAACAAAAATTCTATGAGGTATTTTTTTATTTATTCTTATGTCTATCTAGTATGCTGTGTGTGCGTGCCCACTCGCACTTGAGTGAGGACAGAGGGACAACTTGCTGAAGATCGTTCTCTCCACAACATGGTTGCTGGGGATGGAACTTGGGTTGTCAGGCTTGGCAACAAGTACCTTTACCTTCTGAGCCATCTCACCAGTCCCTAAAAGAGATTTTTATCCCCCCCCCCTTTTTAGAATATGAGGTTTGCATGGTCAAGAAAGTTGCCCAAGTTCACACCACTCATGACAGGCTGAGCCAGGAGGCAAATAGCCGCCTAAGTTACCAGGTGTGTGTGAGTGTGAGCACGTGAGGGTCTGGGTCTGTGTGTGTAGCAAGTGTTCAACTCAAAAGCTTTTGAAATAGTAAGATTGTGCTAGTGGTTTAGGCTATGTGACAGGCAGGTGGCAAGTGGTGTATATGACAGTTCAACTGTATACCTTGAATAAGCTCCCTTGTTCCTGGCGGTGTTGTTTATAATGCCACCATATTGAAAATGTATCTTTGCCTGAAGGAATACTGCACAACACCTTATGTAAATGAGCATACTTAAGTGCAGCTCCCATAGCATAATGAGTTGCCAGAAGACACATAACCTACTGGTTGTTGGACACAAATAAGACTCAATCCTTCAAAGCATCCTTGCACTAGGTACGGCTACCTCCATCCTGAAGTCATTGAGACAGAAACTGGACCATGTATACCAGATAACAAATAGTCCTGTGATATGGCACTGTCTGGGTCTCAATGTACTCTACAGACGAGGTTAATCCCATAGCAAGTAGGTAGTGGCGTTGGGATTTCAAATCAGCCTGCTCAGAGCCAGTGCCCAGCTCTGAAGCACACCACCAATGGCATGTTTTACTCTCCGTGTACTTCATTCTCCTGGGAACTCTGGTTCAGTTTGATCCACAAATTCCTCTCCAAGGTAACGTCATCTGTGAGACAGTGGTGTGCCACACTCCCATGTCCTCAGGGAGATAAAGCTTACCAGATGAGACAATTAGAGAGTGATAACTAGGCCGTATAATGTAAGCACAAGGTGCGATAAAAGGAGACCAGCTTGGTGATAAGTTGTGTGGAAGCTGCTGAAGCCCCTTATCTTGGTTGCTGGGTATTATACTAACATCCACGCAATGGAGGCCTAAGTCAACAGTGAGTGCATGAGCAAGTTAATAAGTGGGTTTATGTGGTGCCGACAATCTAAGCAAAGATTGTGCTGATAGCCTCCATACAGCGGGTGGCATTTACATATGTTGGGTACTGGGTCAAACACCTGGTCATTTATTGTATTGATTTTTTCTTGTTTTTTTAGATTGGGCCATATATAGTCCATATATAGCAGTCCCCAGAGGCCACTGGTCTTAACTACTGTAGGACAGGTAGGGGCAGGTCCCTTTCTGGGGGTGTAGAATTTGTTATAAGGCCAATTTAGAAACTGAATGTAGAAGTCTACTTGTGTATTGAGTGAGTGACCTTGGAAGTACATGGCCGTATGCTTCTGGCATTGGTTGGCTAGTAAGGGTCCTGTGTGTGTGTGAACCCAATGCAATCCAGTTGTCTAGGTTTCCCAGCTTCCCCACTGAAAGTCCCATTACCTGTCTACACTGGATAATCTAATACAGGAGGCTGACATCCTTATCAGCCTGGGCTACAGAGTGAGGCTTATTATCAAAAATCTCAAAATGAAGGACAGTGAGATGGCTCAGTAGGTAAAGGCAGATCAGCAACCTTAGTTTGATTCCTGGGGCTGGCATGGTGGAAGGAGAAGACAGACAGACCCTAAAAGGTCACATCTACACAACATAAATAAATGTAAAACAGAACCTAGACGAACATTTACATTTCTTGAAATGACCCAACCTCTATTTTTGGAGAATGTCCCTCAGTTCTAAATTTAACTGAATGAAATCTTACGATGCAAGAACCCCCAGAAGAAACAGAGACAGTGAGGAGAGAAAACTGGAGATGAGTTATTACTGAGTTATTATTTAGTCTCTCCCTAGTCCCTGCTACAGACAGACCTTGCCACCTTCAAGCCTGCCTAGGACCATGGGAACTGTGTGGGGCATCCCTTGTGTAGAAGGGGCTCCTGAATCCGTCATTTCTTTCTTTCTTTCTTTCTTTCTTTCTTTCTTTCTTTCTTTCTTTCTTTCTTTTGTGAGACAGGGTTTCTCTGTGGCTTTGGAGGCTGTCCTGGAACTAGCTCTTGTAGACCAGGCTGGTCTCGAACTCACAGAGATCCACCTGCCTCTGCCTCTGCCTCCCGAGTGCTGGGATTAAAGCCCGGCTGAATCCATCATTTCTAAGTAGCCTGTTTAATCACCTGCTGTGGGTGCCTAGGAACCATGCTCCAGCTCCAACCCTGACCCAGGACACTGCAGCTTCGAAACATAAAGCCAGTCGCCTTTTGATTGCAAGGCTCTGGCTCTGGCTGGGCCTCCTGTGCTGAGCACCTGATGGGAGAAGCAGGTGGTGATCTATTTTCATTAGTGGCAAGTACCTAATGGTTGAAAATAGACCCTGCTGGGAACATTCAACTGGCCCCTATCCCTTAAAAACAAAACAAAACGGGAACCCAGAAGTCATCAGGTACCAAATCACCTGGTAGAAGTCTTTAAACAACGCTGGAGTGATGAGTTGCTCAAACAATTACCGATGCCATGTTACCTCGGGTGACATTGACTACCAATTCCAGGTGGCTAGCCAACTGCCATTTCAGTACCTGATCTTTCCCTGTGACAGGTGAGTTCCCAGGAGAGTTGGAACCCTTTATCTCACTGACCTTATGTATCTGATAAGAGTCAAACTGAAAGTGGGCTGCTGGCTGTGTGGGCTGGGAAGTGAGTCAGCAAATGAGTGGCTGGAGGGAGCAGCTTCACCCTTCTCCCGCTGGGCAATTTGATGGAGGGTGGCACCACCCCACCCCTCTGTCACCAGTACCTGAGCTGTGGATAGAACTACTTTCTGTATTATTTTATGTGTGTGGGTGTTTTTAAACGAACAGCATCTTCCTTAGAGAGACCTGTGAGGTGGGTACAGAGGTTTGGTATGATACAAGAGAGTACACAGCCCACACCAGCAAGCTTCAGCAGGTTCTACTGTAGGCAAGGGCCTGACACTCTTTACCTTCTCACTTGCCTCCATCCCTCAGGAAGGATGAGCTGAGGCTCCTGGTATAGATGATGGTGTCTTTACTTTTTTTTTCCTCACTACTCTATGGATTCCAGGAATGAGAGTCACTAAAGGGGAGAGGGTGTGGTCCTCTAAGGCACAGGCTTTAGAGTTGGAAGCCTTGGCGTCAAACCCTAGCTCTGGTTCACCCCTTTGTGACCTTAACCAAATGACTCAACTTTCGAGGCATCACTTCCTGACACCCAGTCCAACGGGGGGGGGGGGGGGCG